AACTCATCTAGCACCTCCTAAAGAAGAGTAAATTGTTTTATATTTTTTAAAGAATACAAAATAGAAAAAAATGTAGTAGGAACAACACAAATTTCCTTAAGCAATGTAATAGGAATTCCACAATGGTTGCTGTATTGCATCATGCTATCTTCAAATTAGTTGTTCAGGTTATCAGATATAAACATGCAAAATTGGTTATAAAAACAAAACAAAACAAAACAACATAAATGTGTAAGAAATGTAAATTGTTCTCATTACAGTTATCTTATAATTAAGGTCTAAGAATTATAATAGCACATAAAAACAAGTCATTTGCTGATAAGGAGTACCTGGTAACACAATGAACTCATAGGAAATACTTGAATCTGAACTTTCAAGTAAAGCTTAAATGAATTTTAACTAAATCATATAATATAATTATAAAAATATTTAAGCATTTTCTTTGTTTCTGAGGATAGGGAGAAAATCTTGCTTTTATCTACCAAAATTAGTGTGGCATTGAATAATGCCTTTTGGAAGAAACAGATATATTGTCAGGAAGTAAGATAGGAATTGACAGGCTTTTGATTTGCATATATCTTATATCATCCATGAAATAGTAATTGTGCTGTCCCAGTTACAAACAAACCTGAATGTTCAGTCTGGTTCTCACTTTGAGCACAATTTATGCTTTTACATGACCAACATAACTGAACAACGCAAAATTTTCAACATGTTTTCTCAATAGACAAAGATAATGAAGTTCCTAACCCATATCCAAGTTTCCAGAGTATGTACAGACTTGATTTTTGTTAATATTTCATCCTTCACTGTTTTCAAGCCCTCTGTCTTCATCTTGTTTCCTGGATAATGCAAGTTAGGCTGTTGCTGCAAATGAAAATGACTTTGAAATCAGAATCAGCAGCCCAGGTTCTCATTTGGAGCACACCTTATGCTTCTACATGACCCACATAAGTGATCACATAAAAATTGCAATTTAATTTTCAGTCCCAAGATAGTACCTTGAAATACATAATGGTAATCAAGACAATAACTTTTGTGACATTTTTGGGATTCACTCACAAACAATTACTGTAATTACTTAGAAGTTTTCATACTTTATACTTCCCAGTCTGTTCCATATGTCTATTTCAGGTAGGTAGATATCTTAAAAGCTTGACTTCATTGTCAAATATGGAATCTCTTGTACCTCAGGACTTCTTGAGTAGTCTCTTTTTTCTTACATATTGGAGATTTCTTTGCCTCTAGCACTAGATATAGCAAAGAAGCTTCCACTACCCTACAACTTCTAAGGTGATGTTGCAAAAGAACACAGGATTGATTTGCATTTTGTAATATTTTCCTATGGGAATAACAGAAATATTAACTATTTCTTTTTTTTATTGTTGTACTGGGGATTGAACTCAGGACCCTGTGATTGCCAGGCAAGCACTTATTCTACTGAGCTATCTCCCAGGGACTCTTATTTTTAAAACCCTAGTGGTCAAGTTCAAATCAAAGTGTTTTACAATATTAGAGCCCTTCAGAGAAGCCTGAAGTGTGCCTGGTATTGATTGGTACTTGAGTTATTTCTTAATGCTATATTTATTATTTTACAATGAATAATGATGTTTCTTAATACACAAGACTTTTTAGGAAGGAGGAAGAAGAGAAACGAGCACTGAACTAGGCATCAAGAAACCTCGGTTCTAATATTTTTTTTCTCTCAAAGACTCACAGACATATTTGTTCTATAACTTTAAGGGCCTATGCCTCAGATTTTCCAACTATAAAATAGAAATCAGCTTGTTTTATCTTCCAAAGCATAAAAGAGTCTCTGATATTTGTCTTTGCTCCTTGAAGTGACAGGATTAGAATGTTTTCTTGTAGGTTTTTATTATTTTTCTAGTTATCTGGAGATGTTCTTGAGAGACTGACATTTAAAAAACAGCATTGGGGTATTAATTTTAATGAGCAAATTATGTAGGACCATCTGTGGTTTCTCTTTTTCAGGGCTGATGGGGGCACAGGAAAAGGAGTTACATTTCCTTTCTGATTCTGGGTAACTGGTGCTAAAAGTATCTGAGAGAAAAAGAAAGCATGCTTCTTTTACCTCTCCATATCACTTATCTAGTAAATTAGAGAATATTTAAGTGTATTCCTAAAGGTCTTCAGGTAGAATGTAGTGAGGTTTTTGATTTTGTTTTATTGATTTGTTTTTTCACAATGCCCACCTTGTGCTTAATTTCTTTCACAATATTCAGCACCAAAACACAGTGGTGACAGCAAAATAGAAAAATCTGATGTACTTATTACTGAAATATTATTATTATTATTATTATTATTATTATTATTGCAATTTAGGTCAGTACACATGTTCACAAGTGCAAAAAATGCTGTAATTAAAAATGTATTCTGAAAAAAATGTATTCTGTATTAGACATAAAATTCTTGTAAGGTAGACTGCACATAACTAAGTATCCACTAGTGTAGCTCATAAAATCTTTGCCTGACCTAAAGGAGATGAATTCCATTAGTAAGATTGATACTATTTCCCCCATACCTAAGATTTATAGCAGTTAGATGAAAGAAATATGCCTTGCTGAATGACCCAACTTTCTGAACTACTTAGCTCTCTTTGTTCAATAAAAACTATAACAGGGGCCTGGCCCTAGCTCAGTCCTTTAAGTGGCTGCTTCCACAAAGCTGTCAGCCTCAGGTTCCTGGAGTTCGAACCTCACAACTCTCCCGCTGGTCAAAAGAGCCCTGAAGGCATTCGAGGAAGGAAAAAAAAATTCAAAAATAAAAAAAATAAAAACTATAACATTTCATCCTTATAGAGACAAAATTAGTATAAAATAAAGTCCATAAACATCACTGCTGACAGCAAAGAAGCAGTAAACTTATTTGACATTTAATCCTTGGTAAAATTTTACTCTCCTCATTACTGCATTTATCTCAAGTGGAAATTCATCTTTTATTTTTTACTTCTTAATTTTATTAGTACAAGTTTGCAGTGCAGAATGACTATGAGTTCATATATGTACAAAACACATCTTAATTCTTTATACTTCCCATTCCCACTACCTATTCTTTATGTAATCTAAATTTAGCCTCTAGCAGTTACATGTTGTTGATAGACTCATGTTTGGTTTAAAGGTAGAAGGCACTTTTCTAGATATTTTGTCTTTGAACCCAAACAAGAAAAAATAGGTAAAGCAGAAAACAATTTCATTTTTTTTTCAGGGCTGATGTGTGAAAAATAAGTTAGGTCACTTATGAGTATCTTAAATGTAAATTTAATCAAAATTAACTTTGTCCCTTGTTGATATTTTAAAGTTCTGATTACTTCCTTGTGTAGATATAGCTTATCTATCAGAAACAGAGCAACTGTTAACTATCTCATTTCCCCTTTCAGTCATTATAAACATTTCTAAGATGTTTTTCTTTAAACTGGAAGCTTGATAGCTACAATTATCACAATTTGCTTTATTACAGGGTAAATATGGAACTTATACAAGGAACAAAGATAAAATATTCATGTTGCTAAACATTCTGAGATGTTTCATTTTAATAAGTACAGGTCATTTTCACAGGTACTAAAGTTAACAGTCTTAATCAGTTGATAGGCAAAATAAGATCTGCAAATGATTATGTCAAAAAGCAGGTAAAAATCACACTGCCTGATAATGAAAACAGTTGCACTTAAAATCAAATATGTTAAGTTATGCATTTCCACAGTTGTATTTTATATAATATTAAGATAAACGTATTACAAAAAGCATCTCTATTTCAAAGATATGTTTCTCCAAGTTCAAAGTTATTTTTCTGCTCCACCCTCAGGCAACTACTGTATTATTATTATTATTATTATTATTATTATTATTATTATTATTGCTAATACCAATAAAATAACAGCAGAGGATTGTACAGGTTCATCATATCCATAATACCTTTAGGTCTGACAGGATATCCAGTACCTCCTATGAAGAGTACATTTCTAGATATCTCAGATGAATAGCACAACTGAGAGCTAATTTGGCATTAAAAATTGGAACCTACCATTTCAGTTTCTGTTTTCTCTGGAGATCTCCATAAAGGACCTTGACAGCTACTCCAGCAACAATGTTACTCATCCACACATCGACTTTTGCTGGTTATTCTGAGAACAACCCATCCAACACTCGTTCACTACCAAAACTAAAAAAATAAATAAAGGAAGGAAGAAAGAAATGTAAGAGGAAGGAAGAGAAAAAAGTGAACAAAAGAATGTCAAATAAAAGCAGCCGAAAATAAAAATGAAAGTAGAAGAAAAAATTAAAAATTTCAGGCTTACTTAACCACTGCCATGATTCCAACATGATAGTGAGATAGCTGAATGAGATATGGAAGCTGCTCTGGTCACACTAAACATTTCTGTTTTCCATGGGGTAGCGTGAATCTCTCTCTCTCTCTCTCTCTCTCTCTCTCTCTCTCTCTCTCTCTCTCTCCTCTCTCTCCCCCCCCCTTCCTTCATGCCTCTCTCTCTCCCTCCTGCTCTCTGGTTAATGATGCATGAATCTACACAAAGCTTGCAAAACTTCACACTAGCAAAAACCCCTCCATTCTATTTATAGTGCATTGTCTTCCAATTCTGTGGTTGCACTCAATTTTGAGTTTGTGAAAACAGACTGTAGAGACTTTGAGGAAGTTAGATGATCTCTGCTCGTTTCCATAGCTAATGTAGCACTGTAGTACTCAGTTCAGCCCTTCTCACAATTCCTCTTCTGTGTCATAGTATCTAAGTGGAAATGTCTCTATCTAAAGATAAACCCTCAATATATTCTGCTTGTAAAAAAATAAAGATAAACCCTCAATAGTTTTCAATAGGTCAATGTTAATAATGACCTCTGCCAAGGATATTCTTGGTTACACAAATCCTTGAAATTCTAACATTGAAATGGATGTCTCTGACTTCCACTTATGTGTGAGGCGAGCGGAGCCAGAGACGCGTCCAGAGGCTGAGCTCGGGATCAGACAAGATGGCCGGGCTGCCCCCTAGGATCATCAAGGAAACCAAGCGTTTGCTCACAGAGCCAGTTGCTGGGATTGAAGACGAACCAGACGACAGCAAAGCCCGTTATTTTTATGTCGTCACTGCTCGCCCCCAGGATTCCCCCTTTGAAGGAGGGACTTTTAAATTTGAACTATTTCTGCCAGAAGAATCCCCAATGGCAGCATCTAAAGTATGTTTCATGACCAAAATTTATCATCTTAATGTAGCCAACTTGGGAAGAATATCTTTAGATATTTTGAAAGATAAGTGGCCGCCAGCACTGCAGATCCACACAGTTCTGCTATTGATCCAGGCTTTGTTAGGTGCTCCTAATCCAGATGAGCCATTAGCAAATGACTTAGCAGAGCAGTGGAAGACCAAGGAAGCCCAAGCCAGAAAAAGCAAAAGCATGGACTAAGCTATATGCCATGAATAATATTTAAGCCAATCTGATCATCAAGTTTGTGTTACTTCTACGGTTCTGCCAAGACTTCTTTTTTTGTTTTCATTTAATGGACATAGTCTTAAAACATTATAGAAAAAAAGCCTACACATTTTCAGTCCTTGGGTGATTAAATGCACCTTAGCTAATCTATGTCTTGTAACATGGAGCAGGTATTTTTTATCAAGTATTGATATGTTGAACTTTAAGTCCCTACAGAATATGATGAAAAAACACTTAAAAATTAAAACATTTTTAAAATAGGCATAAAGATTTATATAACTCTTACGTTTACACATAAGTCCAGAAATCTAACCATAGACAATCTTGAAGCATGACAGTCCCGCAACATCCCTTTTCCTGTCTCCTGCCTTCATTCACCACCCCCTTCTTTTTCAACAATCATCTACATAAGAGACAGCACAACAGCAACTGTTATGTCATGACAAGCAGCCCGTATTCAGAAGACCAGAATGGCAGGCACTCCAAGCATGAACCTACTATTACAAATTGCCATCTTCAGTGCAGTTGCTTAGTTCACAGGTGTCAGTATATATAGTTAGTCAGGGTGAAAATCTTTCCAATTAAGTGCTAGATGCAAAAATCTTCTGGAGGGGCCAGGGAGATGGCTCAGTAGAATAAGCGCTTCCCTGGAAAGCACAAGGGCCTGAGTTCAATCTCTGGCTCTGAAAAAAACCCCTTCTGTACATTCTCAGAATCATTGTCTTGCCCATTTTCCACACATAACTGTATAGCTTGTCACTGTCATGTTTCCTAGCTCTTCTCCTTTCCCTCCCATAACTAGCTAGTCCTTGATTTCTTGCTTTCCTTTTACTTGTATTATACCTTTCTATTTGTATTTCTTCTTTTGAGTTCTTATTTTTTTCTGTTTTCCCTTTCTTTTTATTTTTATATTTTTTCTCCATAATTTTATTGAGAAACAAATAGCAATGAGACAGTTTCAAATCAAATTGGTAGGACAGATTCAATAAATAAAACATTGCATACATTCTTCCTAGTGGTTAACAGCTGGACAAGATTCAGACATGATATCTTATTTACAAACACCATTAGAAAAAAATCCCTCTATTCATTAAGAGAATGTAACTATATATCTATCTTAACCACTTTCATACACAGATACAGCTGTATTTCTAAATGAAATCATAATTGGTGTCAAACAAAAGTGCTGTGTACCCATTAAAATATGGCATATTGAAGAAATAAAGTACAGTTGAATCTTAAAAACAAATCTTCGCTAAGGAAGAATAAAATTTCAAAGGCCAAAATTCAAAGTCAGTTATCATAGTTTATAATCTGGAATGACATGCTTATATTATAAATTAAAACTTTCTCTATTTTTCCCATAATTTATTGATAAACAAATAGCAATTAGACAGTTTCAAATCAAATTAGTATGAAGTTTCAATAATTAACACATTGTGTACATTCTTCCTAGTGGTTAATTGCTGTAAAAAATTCGGACATGATAGCCTATTTACAAACACCATTAGAACAAATCAATCTATTCATTAAGAGAATGTAACTATATATCTATCCTAACCACTTTGAATACACAGATACAAAAT